GAAGATGAAACTTGGGATGTCGGTTCAGGTGATAATTTTGTGCCAGTTTGTTTATATAATCACAAAGATTGATTCTCTAAGTCAGTTTCTTGTTCAGCTGAGATGTTCTTTTTAAATTAAACCTTCAAGATTTGAAGTTTTCTTTGGTATTATTTGTAATTTTGAAGATGTGAAATGCGAGCTATTTTGCCCGGAGTAAAAGTTTGCGTAATTATATCTTTATGAGATAGGCTTTGATGCTTAATGTATTCATTAGTCTCTTTGAAGTAAGTCATGCAATATTTATTGTTTGAGTAATGAATTACGTGAAATCAGGCAGAATTCTGTGCAAGGCAAAGATTAAAAGCTGATCTTACTTTCAATTTGCTAGGAAAAACATGAGAAAACTTTTGAAATAGCAAACCATTAAGAAAGCCTTAAAAATATTTCAAAGAACTTAGTGTTCTTAGATACTGAATTCATGGCAGTCATGCATGAAAATAATGGTAAATAGCTGATAAGTACAGTTTGTAACATACAGAATATCAAGAATTGTTTCCATGGAATAGTCTTGAACTGTTCTGCTTGTTGGTTCGGTTATCATGAATAATATCGGTTGAGATTGATCAAAGTGAATGGTAATTTGTTAGGTGAACATTTGGTTGAAATTGTGATTATTTTGTAGGTCTTTGTGTACTTGTAACAACACATGCAGACGTCAATTAGATGTAGATTTCTCTATCACAGAAGCCATTGTGAAATGGACTAATTATGGCACCCTGCATGTAAGTGACAGCACGATGGGTCGGCAGGGAGGTCGTTGGGACGGTAGCTGCCTGCGCCCTGCTGATCACAACGACAGATTTGAAGTGGCACGTTACTGATGGCAAACACAGGCTTTGACGAAATCTATTAATGGTGCTATTGATTGAAGCTATTATTGTTCACCACAGCCTCTCGGAATAAGAATGAATAGATGACCTTTGAGAAGGGGGTATATCGCAATCTGAACGCGACCAACCAATCGAACGATGATCGCTTTGTCTGAAAAAGAAAACAGCTTAGCGCTGATTCTATGACATCACCACCCTAGCTCTCTCTCTCCCTCCCCCCCTCCCTTGATTTTGTGGAAATTGGTTGTGGAAGGGAGGCTTTGTGTAGTGTTTGATTGTGTAGCGTGATATACAGGACTGAATGGCAGGGATAAGATAACAGCGGCCGGCCTCACTGGCTGCAGAGTCTGACAGATGGCCCTTGTTTACTCACCACACAAAGGAGTCGGCCTGATCCCTACCTTCTGACGATTGGTAACTTATCTTTTGCGAAATGAAACAATGTTTTCTCTACATATCATGCATATGCTTAGACAGTCCCCTGGAGACCTGGCAGCTAGCATGGTTGATATTACCCGTCATATATCAATGCATTTTGCAATTAAGATTAAAGTAAGCGCAGAGCATTTGAGCTACAGGGAAATCTGGCAGTCCGTGATCGCTGAGAATGTAAAACTGTATTGATTCTAAGTGTTTCTGACACATCCTCGCAATCATTTCCTTTGTTTAATACTAGCAAATCTACGCAGGACCCTGCATTTTAAGTGATTCATTTAAAATGCTTTTTGCATCAAAGCCGGAAAGGCACTGGCAGAATTTCTTAGTCAAGATTAATTCGTTTCAGAGTCGATTGACATAATCTTAGTTAATTAGGGCCTATTTCTCCGCGCCATTCAAACAGTGGAAAGGGAATTTCTCGTTTTAATTCCAGCACTGAGGATAAAATAGAATATGATAAAATATTTGGTGCTGCTCAGTGGTGAACCAGAGAACAATGGACGTGTTATCCCTGGTGTTCGTTCAGTTGGGACATGTTTGAGCCTCTTGGTTTTGTTGAAGAAATAGGCAGTTTTAGGTGTATTTCTGTCTTTTATAATATTGGCATTGCTCTTGTCATTTTCAAGATATGGGAAAAAATTGTGTCATTTGCAGATGCGTTTTGTAATTTAAATGCTTATAACATCTCTTGCATGAACGTTTTACATAATGTAATTTTTAAACATGTTCAATCTTTAAATACTTCTGAAAACTATGATCCTTCTCTTATTAGCTTTTACGGGAAAATATATGCATGTAAAAATATTTTGTGTAATTTCAGAAACTGACATTTGTAAATCAGTTATCCACTTTATTACACAGTTTCCGATCACATGATCGGAAAACATTGAATTTACTCTATTTAACAGTCTGTACCAAATACATTGAGTTTATTAGCCCGATCATCATTCTTAAGATCATTTTCAGTATATTTTAGTGTTATAACATTGACTATTACCAGACTGAAAAGAATTTTACTAGACTTGGGCTTTGGACTAGTTGTTAAAAGGTATTTTTTTAAAGTTTTCTGATGTCAGCAGATAATGACAACATTAAAACATAGAACTTTGATAAAATGTGCAAGGACATGTTTGACTTGACATGAATTCAGTGCGAAAAGTTCATTTTTATGTTAGCTTGACTTGGAATAAGATTTTCTTACAATGAAAGGGAGATAACTCTTGATTGGTTAGCATTCAGGTCAGTGTTGGTTGAGTGATGTTTAAGTAATTGATTGAACTATTCAGTTTATATGGGGTGGAAAATATATCAATTTTGTTTTGGATATAAATATTAAACTTGATTTATGATCAGATTAAAAATATAAATGAAAAATAGATTTATATAACAAATGCCAAAATTTAGAATTTGTAAGGTAATTTTAAAACTGTACGGCAAATGGAATTTGCACAAGTTTTATGTATAGTGAACAATTATATTTCATTTGTTTTTTTTCCGTTTATCGGGTGTGACAGAATGACATAACATAGGTTGTACAAAGGCCAAGTTGCCTTTCTCATGTATTGATTTAGTTCAGTTATCTTGTTTTAAACTTTGATTGATTCGGTGAGTGGATAGTGAAATCGTGTCAACTTGTCGTAACCAATATGCCTGGCCTCTTGCCCTGTATCCTGATAAGAACATAGGATTTGTGCATTTTTATATGAGCATGTGAAGTTGAATTTTGTTGTCATTTAGAATGTTATTGATCTATCAATCAGCATCAGTGATGCAGGTTTTCACCAGATCCCAAATTAAACTGATCTGTCAAGCTATAACTGACCAGAAAAATAGATAAAGAATTAGCAAGAAGAAAAACTGTATGCATAACTACTCAAACAGATAAATCATAATTTGACAGTTTAAAGAAACTGTTCAGTTTTGTTGCTGAAAGAAACGATACTTCATCCAATCTATCAGAAATTTGATCTGGCTTGATCAATCTCGGTGTCATCTGTATAATCTGGAGCATTTTTTTCACACGGATTTGACATTTTCTTGCATATTTCACCTGAGAATGTTATCTGTTTGGAAACACTTTATATAAGATCTAACTTTTATTTAATTTGGATTTCAAATTCTCTCTGTTTACCATTTCTCGTTTCTTAAGTATCGGTCGTTCTGATGTGTTTCGCCTGAAATGAGAACGTGTAAATGGGAAGTAGGCTTATGATCATCATCCATCACTCAGAGTAAAACAATATTGTGAAACTGGCGAATAATAGGTTTAATATTCCTCCATACCTCCAAAACATTATTGCAAAAAATAAAAGTTCAAATAATATTAATACTAATGTATGGCCATTTTATTACAAAAACAATCGGTTGGCCTTGTTGAGAGAATGGTGATTAATGTAGAGAGATCTATGACTGTTTTGAGAGGCGGTGAGTTACCTATCATTGTCTATGGGATGTGAGCCGGGGGAAGACAATTAAGTCACATACCACCGGCGCCCGGATAGAGTGGCGAAAAATCTTATCAGTTCTGTATCCAATGAAAGAGATCTTGTTGATAACGTTATCAGCCCTAGGTAATGTATATTTAATTGGTATCAACAGCCACTTATGATTCTGCATTTAAGTAGCATAAAATAATGTAATTGTAGAATTTGCGTTGTTTGAAGTTTTAATTCTGTGATGGTTGATAGATTACTTTGGCCAAACTTTGTGATTAGATAATATAATTATAGATATTGACATTAACTTGTAATTTCCAGTAATTCTAATCATCTAAACAGGAAATTGTCTCAAATGCCTATCAATATTTCATGATTCGAGTTGTGGTAGTATTTGTGAGACTTTTCGGTACTACTTTTTAATCCGGCTCTGTCATTACAGTATTAATGTGAATATCGATTTGGTGTTTGATTGCTGTGTATATTTGTTTAGTGATAATGTCCATCTTTGCCGGGTGCTTGGCTGTGGTACAGCGATCATGGTACAGTGGCATGATAAGAAGCTGGTGTTGTAGTGACGAGGCTGCGCGGTGGTGATGGCGGGTGGGGACACATATCTATATCACCATATTGCAGCCATGCCACGGATGCTGTGGTTACCATAGATTGTTGCTAGATTTATATCTCCAGTTGTGTTGGTCTTGTGGCGACTTTTGTCTTGTGTCTGAGAACTGGCAGATGGCAATGGCAACACAAAATACGGCTCGGCCTGGAAATCTGTCAATGTACATTCAATATGTCATACATGGGAGTAGGGTGGCTGGTTTTACTTCAGTGTGTCTGTAGCAGTTTTCAATTGTTTTTTAGGGTTTTCTAACAAATTTTTAGATAATCAGAAGTTTTAGTATCATCAGGCATGCTAATGTCTGATTTTGTGTAGATGTAATGGTGTCGGTCTGTTGGTCAGCGCTAATTACAAATGTAACTTTGAGGCTTTATGTCTGGTTTGAATCATTCAAGAGTGTTTCTGGATTGTTGCTCGTGACATCAACCACTGGTCGTGCAATCATTTACAAGCCATGTGATTTCACTGGATATTGATGACTGGAGTAACACAACATTCACTTTCGGGTTGTGCAAGGAGAACACTGGTTGTCAACACCCATACTTTGGCTTATGTGTAGTGTTTCAGCAAATTAAATTCTGATGTCGATAATTCTTGTCTGCTTAACTTATGATGTGTTGTTTGTTTCAGGAGAATGATTCAGAGGTCTCTGATGCACAATAACCAACCCTCCGCTTCACAATGATGGAAATAGAGACTGCTACCTGTCTGCCTACCAGTGAGAAGCTAACCGCACACGATAGCCTGTCCCTGAACGCACTCGCCCAGCACACTTCCGTCTCCCTCACTTCTGCCTTGCACCACTCATCGGTCTTAGAAAGCAGAAGTGCACCCAACGGCAACATGATCGTGGAATCTTCCAGCCACGAGTCGGAACCAGCCGTTGCTCAGCCCCTTTCCCCAGAATCCCACCAGCTCCAAGAAGAGGCAGCAGACATGACCGGCAACATGGTCAAACCATCCCCTGACGATGTCATCACCACAAGCAATAACCTACAACAGTCCGACGAATCTGGGGAGAGCTCGTCCTTGTCCCCTCCCGAAGTCGGGCACCCTGCAACTGCCGACCTGGAGACTGGATGCAGCAACAGCCCGCAGTCCATAGAGAGTTGCCCCGAAAGACCGAGGTCAAAGCGAAAACCGACATTAGAGGACATTGTCCGACGCATGAAGACTTCTGAGACCTACTGCAGTGATGACAGTGAAGAAGAAATGATGAACGGCTCCCTGACAATCGACATGGCTCGCGGTGGAGTGGATGAGGTTGATGGAGGCTCGACGGACATGAGCTGCCAGGATATGGATGTTAAGGACGGGGATCATTCCCTGCGTTTGTCCGAAACACCTTCTGTCGAGCTGGACAGCGAGGATGGACATCACCGGCCACCCAATGGGCTGCAACATCATCTCCCGCCCCACGTCATTGACAATCTGGAGCACCAGAAAGAAAACCAACCACTCCCGCCTGGCAACATAGGCGGCATGCCTTCCACTATGCCCATGGCTTCCAATATCAGTGAAACTGCTTACTCTCCACATGTGTACGCAGCTTCCAAAATAAACAACTGGTTCCACGGGTCCTTCAACGGTCTGCCCCTCTTTCCATTCCCCCCAAGTCCCATGGATCATAACTTGGCCAGAAAGTATCTTCCATTCGAAACCAAATTAGCTGCTGAGGTGGAGAAGGACTATTTAAAGTGCCAGTTCTGTGAGAGGACATTTCGTCGTCAGAAGAACCTGGAGAATCATATCGAGAACACTCACCATGGCAAGGGCCCGGTTCGACGAGCCCGCTCCGAGAACGGGAGCGACATGTACTTCAAGTGTACCCACTGTCCCTACACTACAAAGCACCAGAGCAATCTCTATGTTCATCTAAGAATACACACAGGTAAGTCACATGTACCTGATCAGGTTCGATGTAGTTGGGAGCTCATTCCTGGTGTCGTCTGCTGTGATAGGCTAGAGTAAAGCTAGAAGTAGAGTCCAACAATAGTCAATCAGAATTCACTCAGCGCTCTCTCTCTCTCTCTCTCTCTCTCTCTCTCTCTCTCTCTCTCTCTCTCTCTCTCTCTCTCTCTCTCTCTCTCTCTCTCTCTCTCTCTCTCACTCACTCACTCACTCACTCACACACACACACACACACACACACACACACACACACACACACACACACACACACACACACACACACACACACACACACACACACACACACACACACACACACGGTTACATTGTTTGGTATGAGTGAGTGACCAACAAGTAACTCAGGATACAGACTTTTACTGCTTGTAAGAAACATAGGAACCCAGGAACCAAGGGTCATAATTGTAGTTGGGATTCAAACCTATAACCAGTGGATTCTAGCTTTCCTGTTACCAGTAGGCCACCTCTCCCCTCCTTTATCAATTCTGACTGCGTGCAATTTGTTGTAACCATGGTATTCTTGACAATAGTGCAGTGAGGAATCTTAACTTTAATTCATGCATCCAAAATTTTAATGATGTACTCTTGCTTGTTATGACCATATTAGGAATATTGTATCACTAAGCTGGTTCTGCTACTTATTAACATGAGTATACACAGATGACTCCTTCCGAATTATGTCTAAAACTGCAAATAAACACATTCCTGTTCCGTTAATCTCTAAGTTGCTGTCATTATTTGAGTTGTATATTTTGTGTTTGGTTACGATCTGCTGATGCTGCAGTTTCTCCCCCAACAACATGTCGGTATTCCCCTCACTGCTCCTGTTTGTCAGCCATGTTTGTGGACCGTGCATGTTTCCCCACCACCGGCTCATACCTATCTGTGAAAAGTAAATTATTTTGTCCTATTTTCCAACTTTCTCCTAAATATCCAAGCAAACAAACACTGAAATATTTGACTTCTTGTTTTTATTTTTTTTCTACATTCTTTGTTATTTGACTCGCTTGCTGACGAGAAAGTTAGTCGACTTTTTACAGATAGTTTTACTTGAAGTGGCATCTTCGGAGTTTGAAAGAAATGCATGATGGAAATTAGTTTATGTACTTTGTGAAAATGTATTTGAAGGAGTTAGTTGGGCTTTATTGTATAAAATAAACAAGGAATAAATATGTGAGGGGCGTTGTTTGTGTCTCACTGTTTCTGATAGGACAACAGGAAGTCATGTTTGAAATACGTGTAGAATACTTGTTGTATTTGCCCAGACACTCCTGGAGTTTTTAGCTGGTAGTCGGCATGTGTTGGATGTCACCTGGTGATCAGGGAAACTCTGTATATACTACTCAAAACAAGTTAAAGAACACATGACTCTTTCATATTAATATAGTTCTTCAGTCATGCCATGAATATGAATCAATATGAAAGTATCGGGCAGATTAACTACACTGATATGAAAGTGTCGGGCGTTCTTTAACTTCTTTCATGACAGATTAACTAAAGTGATATGAAAGTGTCGGGCGTTCTTTAACTTCTTTCATGACAGATTAACTACAGTGATATGAAAGTATTGGGCGTTCTTTAACTTCTTTCATGACAGATTAACTACAATGATATGAAAGTATTGGGCGTCCTTTAACTTCTTTCATGACAGATTAACTACAGTGGTATGAAAGTATTGGGCGTTCTTTAACTTCTTTCATGACAGATTAACTACAGTGATATGAAAGTATTGGGCGTCCTTTAACTTCTTTCATGACAGATTAACTACAGTGATATGAAAGTATTGGGCGTTCTTTAACTTCTTTCATGACAGATTAACTACAGTGATATGAAAGTATTGGGTGTTCTGTAACTTCTTTCATGACATATTAACTACACTGATATGAAAGTGTCGGGCGTTCTTTAACTTCTTTCATGACAGATTAACTACAGTAATATGAAAGAATTTGGCGTTCTTTAACTTCTTTCATGACAGGTTAACTACAGTAATATGAAAGTGTCGAGCGTTCTTTAACTTCTTTTATGACAGATTAACTACAGTAATATGAAAGTATTGGGCGTTCTTTAACTTCTTTCATGACAGATTAACTACAGTAATATGAAAGTGTCGAGCGTTCTTTAACTTCTTTCATGACAGATTAACTACAGTGATATGAAAGTGTCGGGCGTTCTTTAACTTCTTTTGAGTAATACATTAAGGAGATAAAAGGATGATCTTTGAAAACTGTTTTCCTTTTTCTTTTTAAACAATTTTGTTAATTATTGACATTTGAAGACCTTTCCATGTACTGGATCTTTGGCTAATGTGTAAGCAGAGGTTAGAATGCTTGGGCAACAACAGACAATGTTGCAGCTGTGTCTTGTGTGTTGTTACAAGATTTGCTGAGATTAAAAAGCAATAATTTGTTTTGTGGCTTGAGTTGCTTCCCTTAGCTGTGCTGGATCTGCTTACCACTTATTCAAACCAGTTATGATGCTTATAGGTTTTGCTATGTGATAAGTGTCTAGGACCTCGCTTTCTATCTCTTTGTTTAAAGTGATGTGGAGAAGGGCTTGCTCAGTCTCACACACTCGTTACTTTTAGTTGGAGTGATTATATCTTCATGAAAGACGAATCATCCAAAATCCTGCTTCAGTTTGCTTTCATTTTTAGCCTGTCACTCTGTTTTACATAAGTATGAAACCTGTCTGTTTTAACTGTGTATTACCTGTCAATTTTACCTGAGTGGTACCTGTCTTTTTTTACTGCATTTTTTGACTCTCTGTTTCACCTATGTATTTATCTGCCTGTTTCTGTCCCCAGGTGAACGACCCTACATCTGCGGAGCCTGTGGAGTTCAGTACAGTCAGAGTCACAGCCTCAAGAGTCACATCATCAACAAGCACGATGGCATCATGTCCTACTACATCAAGGAGAAGCGAACTCGCTCGCCTCGTGGCATGGGCTACATGGCCACCCAAGTCCTCCCCGAGTCCCCCATGTTCAAGATGCCCACTCCTCCGATCATGTCTCCTCACATGAACCAACAAGCCAACATAGATCTCGCTGCCAAAACCATGGAAATAGCCAAGAACGCTATAGAGAACATGGTGTCTCAGCCGCTTCCCATTAACAAGTCTAGTCCACATATCTCAGTCAATGGCCATGCTTCACCGCACTATGCCGACCTGCCACACAACCGTAGCCCCGGCTCGCTGCCGCACACTCCAGCCAATGGCCACATGTCCCACAGTCAACACCCCTCGACCCCAGCGTTCCCGACCAGCACCCCCTCGCAGATCAACAACATTTTGGAGGAGTCCTGCGGAGCCATCGACCTCAGCAAGAAGACGAGCTTGAAGGAACACATGTTCAACTCAATCCACGACAAATACAACCGCTTCCACGATAAGGCCACTTGCAGCAACTGCATGCACGGCGCCAAACTGCGAATGCTGCGTCTGAATGTCGTACGCATGTTGAGCATCCTGGTCCCGAATTTGAATTTTGAGGAGAAGGGAATCAGTGCAGACAGCGACTCTGTGGACGAATTGCTGCAGGATGTCATCGAGAGCAACACCCACGAGGAGGATATGGCTGAGTAGTTCTAGGCTCGGAGATATGGATGGAGGGTATGGATCTTCAAGTCCAGAAACTGTACTCGATCTGCAATGACCTGATAGACTTGCTGATGGTTGCGACACTCTCTGATCCCCAGATTGGTATGGAGCTACCGTTCAAGGTCAAGCATTAGCAGTCTCTTGTTCCTTTCTGACTCGTCACGTAGACAATCCTGAGCTGGTGACATGCTTGTTGGACACTAAGGGTTTAAAGGACATATCTTGGTATTTTTGGACTTTCGCTGAAGATCAAATCAAGTGCTGAATATTTTACTGAAAACTGTCTCCAAAGAGCGCATTGGTTTTGATGTGCTTTGACCTTGGTGCATGAACTTCTCCTATTGGAGAGAGTGCAATACCACGTCGGTTATCACGCCACAATCCATCAGACGTAGCTACCAAACAGTCAAGTCTCATCACTCGCTGAAGACGCTGTTTGCCTCAGCGACCCACATATCCAACAGCCATATCTCAAACGTGTAATAATCTCAGTATATATCTCATTGTGTCATCTCTCTATATATATATATATTATATATATATTGTGTGTGTTTGGTTTTGAACACACATTCTCGTCACAAGACTTGGACCAAGATTGAGTATTTTGATAGTGCCAGAGTATTAGAGATATTTTGGACATTAACATATCCATTCCTTTGTTTCTTGGCTTTTAGGCCGACCAAGGTTTGTCAAACTACTTGTTGCCATGACAACTGTTATTCACCAATCCAAATCATCATCATTGTTTACTTCATCCAACCAGAGCGAGGCATTCCTGTTTGTCATCCAATCAGAATTGAGAACCATACTAGATGCTTGAAGCATTCCATTTGACCTTGCACAAAACCAAAGTTGTAAATGATGGAACCCAAACTCCATTTATTCTATATATGAATCATGATGTATATTTCTAATTGTGGTAGGGGTGAGGCCAGCATTGTAACCTTCCCTCCTCCCCCTCTCCCCTCCCCCTCCCCCCAGTTGTGGATACTTTGTGCCCTTATACCCAGGAACTAACCCTGTGTACTTAATGGTTGTGAGATTAGCTTGGTAGGTGTCCATAGGTCAGTGTAGTCACCTCGTCCTGTCGTGGGTAGAACCAGTGGTAGAACTAGCCTTGTTGAAATGTTGAAGTGTCTCTCCTTGACCTTGATGAAACTTTCTGTCCTAAGCTGAAGCAATAACAGAGAGGTGCAGCTGATAAATCCCATTGCAAACTTAGAGAAAAATCTCTGTAAGATTTTCCTATTTAAACTGCTAGCAAAGTTAATTATATTTTTATAATCTGTGTTCGTGCCCCTGATCGGTCTTGTGTGTATATTTCTCCTATATGTCTTCCGTCTAGGAAAGGGGCCCTATCTGTGCTGAGGTTTCCATGGAGTTGACAACAGTTTATCGGTTACCTAGCAACCAGGGTTGTGAGAATCCCTCTGCCTTGAGGTATTACTGCCGAGAGCAGTCTAACTTGATCACTGATGATAATGATGATAATGAAATGTGCTTATTTTGAAATTTTGATATGTGGACATAGCTTTAAATAGACAGCGTCCTTTAAAGATTTCCTCCTAGTGTGGTGTAGTCTACTCGTCGTGTTCGTGAAATGGCCGACTATGCCAAAGGTCCTTGTTGACAGTTTGTCATACTTAGTGCTTCAAGAATTCATAGTATTATATTTTGATGACAACCCACCTATATATCCTAATCAAGTCACATGATGGTCACATGACTTCTATTATTGTTCATCATTCCCTTGTGCTAGTCGTAGTTGCACCTGCCCGACCCCCCACCCAAACAAGTTGTACATCACTGTCCTTTTGTTATTCTTTGTACTGTGTCACGGATATGTCCCAATGTTATTTGGTGGCCCAAATAGCGTACCGGTGCTTACTTCCCATTGGTCATCTGTTGTTGAGGGTATTACGGTTGGTCCCATGGAAATAATTCATGTCAGTATTTATTTCATTTTTTTTTTCATATAAGAGATATTAACAATCAAAAGTTCATTCTCATTTCTCCGATTCCATAGCTGATATAATATTTTACATCAAATCATTACATCCCGAATCAAAATCCAGTGAGGTTGTTATTCCGAGTTTTGGATGCTCCCCACACCACCCCTTATTAGGATGTATTCATTTCATTCCCATCATGCAGTGGAATCTCAGCTTCCTCGACAGGGTAACCTATCATTTCCAAAACAAAATTCAAACGTACGCCAAATCTGACATTTTGCTATGAGATACCTTTTCCGACTTGATACTCATTAAGTTTTAGTGAAAACCGTTCAGTTTTTTGTAATAATGTTAAATATTGCCAATATTTTATGATTCACTAAAGTCTTTTTGCATGTGTTTTTGATAATGTTTTCATTTTAACCTTTTACATCGTAAGAGCAAATCTACTTATGTGAAGTATATGTACTTAATGCATGAAGAATGTTCACTGTCATTCTTGTGTCTACCAACCACCGATTATTTTACATATCTACAATGTTACTTAATTCACACTTGCATTGACTGCTGATACAATACATGCCTTTTTTTCTGGCTACTTCTATGGTGACCAACCAGTGGCCATTTTCATATGTCATCACAGAGTTGTTATTTGTTTGACTTGTATATTCTGTCTTTTATTTGCAGATGTATTGAAGTTTTAGTCATATACCTTATGTTTTTGATCATGTCAGACTCAAGTTATAGACAATGTCACACTATGGCCAGGCCTGACACACAGGACCATTGCCATGTTTGTTGGTTGTTTTTTTGTCTACCAATTGAGGTTATTTTGTTTTTGTTTTGTGAGATACCCAGGTTAAAGAAACATAGTTGTATGATTACTGAGTAGTGCAATTTATTCCCACCAAAACCGGTTCATGTGTTCGTTAAAACAATCTAGTCTTTGTGTGGTCGCTGTCACCTTGGCAACCCACTCAATTCATCACTGCATCTCAGTGTCAGTCATTCTGATTAGTAAACAATTATCTCCCTTTGTAAGTCCAACCTATGTAGTTGTCCCCCTTTGTATACTTCATATTGAGAGTTGTTCCCCTTTGTATACTTCATATCGAGAGTTGTCCCCTTCAGTTCAGAAAGTATTCCGTGAATATGCCACACAGTATATGTTAAGATTTTACTTTATTGACTGTACTGTTGTAAGCATTAAATAGGAAGGCGCCATTTTGGTTCTTTGTGTCCCTCAAGCCATTTGAATTTCTGACCAAAAAAAACAAAAACACAATGAATGTTTTTATTTCGGCTTAAACTGAAAACACTGTGTGAAAAGAAAACAAGAATTAATTGTTCTGCTATTGTCAAATAAATTTAAATTAAGTTATTTTCTCTGTTTCTGACATGCTCTTCAGTCTAATATTCCAGTCCAGGTATTGTGGGAAACATTGAAATGTAAAATGGCTTCCTATTTGTAACCAAAGGGTTGACACCTGTTGTCTACTGTTCAGCTATAGTAGATGTCATATCATTATTGTCACACATTCCTAATTTCATTTCCTCAAAGACATGTTTATATTTTGACTTGAGTTCTCAATGTCCCATCAGAATGGTGTAATGTGTGTTTGTGAGTGTGTGTAGCATGTGTGTGATCCCACGCCTCTCTAGATCAAGTTTATTACTGTCTACAGTTCACGTATCAAATATGATTGTCGCACTCTCTGTGTCAAAGATATTTTGAAATGATGTAAATGTTGATTCCCACCAAAATTCGAATGCCTTAAATTGTTTCATTGTTTTGTTTCCTGAGATGAATATTAAAAAGATGGAACAAGTCAGGCCCTAGTCTTTGCATAGTCTGAACATCATCGGAAAGCTGCTCCGTCTGCCAGCGTGGCGTGACGGGGGGGGGGGGACAAAGATATTGTTTTCTGATGTCTCTTGTGAAAAGGTCCTTCAGCTAGCTTTGGTTGTGTCCATTCTGTCCATTCGAAATTGTGTGAAACTGACCATCTAATGGGAGACGAGACAGGCCAGTTTATGAGAAGTCGTTTCGGTGAAGCCGTTACCAGTTGAATTTGAAACACAAGGTTTGTGATAGGGGAATATGTCTGATGTCAGGGCGAGAGTTTCATGCTGCCCAAAGCTAGCAACAAGGCTAACGATTCGGTTATTTGGACCGATACCAAACAAGGGGTTCAGATTTGCAAAGCATAGGGTCTTTGTATGGCATTAAGACTAGGCTCAAAGTCTGTCTGAGAATTATACTTTAAGATTGTAACATTGTGGCTAAAAGCACTGTTTCTAATGTATGCAAATTATAACGCAATCTGTAAATGAATATTGATATTTTCTTCTGCAATATATTAAATATGTTATTATGAAGGCATGTATGTGTCCGGGTTTTGACACAAGGAGCTAAAATTGAGTCTGTTTTCATGTTATATACACCTGTCTCCCACATGTATTTTGTTGTTTTAATTCGTTGGAGGTTATTCTTTTGAATAATCTCAACATGTTCAAAGCAATACTGCTAATGATCTACTTTTTTGAGGTTGTTTTATTGTTCCATTATGACCCATCATTATGCATGTCACAAGATGCTGTTTATATTTCATGCAAATTTTCTAAACCTACTACAGCTGATGCTACTGACTGAAAACCATTTCCTTTTTATCACCTAGCCTGTTGAAATTAATCTATATTTTTAGACATTGTTGACAAAATGCTGTGGTTTGGAGCCGTAAGCAAATAGAATTACATCGGAGAATTTTTTTCATGTTTGACATGTACTATATTCTTGAGAACAACTTGTGTCGTAAATGGAACACCTGAGTTGATTTGAACTTCCGAAAAATGCCTAGAGTTCTTCCAAGTGCGTGTGATGTTGTTGACCCTTTGTCTAAACCCGGACGGTTGAGTCGACTGATTCTTCCAGGATTGGCGATGACAAGAAGTCTATTCCATGTCGTGCTGACGCCCTCGGACGCCGGACGCTGTTATATGGCAATAACCTGTATTTAGTATTAAGGTCTATTTTGGTAATAGATCCCTTTGTATAAGGCTTGTCCACTGCTGCGAATTAAATTTATTTTCTAAGGATACAACCTTTGATATTGAATCAATCATGTTTCCATTTATGTGTGCATTTAGACATTTATTTCCCTCCTGAATTATGGCATGGATGCCAAAAAACCAACTGTTTCCAAAGGTGCATTTATTGTCTTAGAATCTCAAATTCTATCGTCTTCTCTGTGTGTCTGTAGATGGGAGTTACCTCCCCTTAGTTGTGATTGGAGAAATTGTTGTGAGAGAATGCCATTGGTTCTCGTGTTGTGTGTGTCTAGTTTCTCTGTTCATACCAAGGCCACAAGTCTTCGGACATATTTTCTTATATGAAAATTGGTTGTTATAAATTTTCTTGGAAGACACAAGTCCTATATCAAGTGCTTGAAATCATATTTTACATGAGACCAAAAGTGCTTCGAAATTTTGTATTGTTATGGCAACTATAAGTTCTATAAGCTGCTGTGCTAACATTTGACCAATTACTAATAATGGTCAATTTATGCTTTCTTCAATTAATTTAATTATGGAAATCAAAAAGTCAATAAATTTTCAAAATGTTTATGTAAATTTTGTGAACTCTTCTTAAGTTTGGCCAAGTCAGGACTGATTCTAGAAAACTATTCAAGTGTTATGGATATTTGTTTAATCAGCAGCTTGAGTGCTGTTAATTTGTTGTCATGATGGTAGTATTTGTTCTGTTGCCCCGAGAAAACCACGAGAGGTTAATTTCTCTCATTGTCAGCGGCTGTCAGCATTGCTAATGTCAATCCAACCAATGACAACGCGAGAAACTGCCCAGTGTATATTTTGTCGAAATGTCTTCCTGCTAGGTGTAATGTGTTCCTTTGTATTTGATGGTGTGCAATTATGCTAGAGAAATGTACAAGTTAACACTGTATTTTTACCACCGTTCTGTTTTTATAGTAATGTGTATATAGTGAGGAGACTGTTAGTCTTTGTGTTACTGTAGCTAAAATGATTGAGTCTACATGCTTGTATTCCCACGATATTGCCTCGATTGTATCTACTTAATGATCGCGCACTTGTTTAGTCATGCCGCCATCTCCAGGGCAATACTTTTCGCCATGTGTTTTGGATGCGGCACCACTCCACTGTCTGTTTGTCTTCATAGATTTTGAGTTCCGATCAGTTCTACTGCCACTGCTGCTGCCGCTGCCGCTGCCGCGTTATTCTGTCTCGAGTATTTGGACAGGAAGCCAGTTCATTCCATATTGTCTCAAGTTATTTTAGAATTTATTTAGTTGTTTAGTTTCGAGATCCTTTGTTATAGGTCTTATTGTTTGTCACCTCTGGTGATGCCAACGTTGGTAGTCTGTCGTCATGGCAATGTTACACCTTTTCACGATGGAAATTGTTTGAGGTAATTAATCTGGACTTGAAATATGTCGCTTCAAAGTCTAAGATTAATATCAATTTTTTCAAAGTTAAATTTAAAATTCATATTGTTTTTGTAAATTTGTGAATAATTCATATTTGGTGAAAAATAAGTTGTATGATGTCATGACAATAGCTGCTTAATGTTTCATCGGCATGGTGATTTATGTGTTTTTTTACCGGTGTGTATTGAGTTATTCTATACTGAGTAGACTGTTCCAATGACACATACTGCCTCATTCCGCTCTCTCGCTCTCCATACGTCATTTAGAAGCTGTTGCAATCACAGGCAATCCATTTTACAAACAGATTATGCTGAAAACTAGCAATGCCACTTACTGCCGATCTCATCTATCTTTTGTTGTCCATTGCTGTTCAATAGCATTTATTTGAATGACCTTTAAGAGTATGTATATATGTATTATATACAGGTTTATTACGTTATGTTTGCTGCAACCATATTTTACTGTTTAACCCAAGGAGAGGGGAGAGAGGAATTAGAACTTTCAACTTGTCTGAAACTATTTGGCTTCTTGCTTAAAAATATCCCATTCTGAACCGAGGACCATCTGTGCTCTTTGGGGTGTTTGGGCAATGGGAGACAACTCCTGTTTGCCCGAGGCTGACCGAGGTTAATGAGAAAATGGAATGATATGCGTCGTGTCTCCTTGTGACAGTCTATTCAGATGTGGCCATGTTTAGTCCTACCTCACGAGGAACTGATTTTACTGAGTTAGTTAATTTGTTAAGGCTGTTTTTATTCTGTTCGAGGACCCCAACAGTGGATGTGTACATATCAGATTTGAAGACTTGGCAAACAAGCCATTTTTTTTTTGGGCTTCTAGTGGATGCTTGGTCTTGTCTTGTTATGTAGATGTTCGTACAACCAGTTGTCAGTTGTGAAGCCATCTATGTGTAGATGATAGTTCAAAATAAAGAGTACATCTGAAAACTACTTCCACTATTGTTGTACTTGAGAACTAGATTCAAAGGAAACCATCGAGGAAAAGCTGTTGCCATGGACGACGCTCACTTGGTGGGAAGTGGTCCCACGGCGAAGGTCCTGGGTTTGAGGAAAACTTAGATTCGAGGATCTGTATGTTGTTTACATCAGCTGTTGTCATGGACGACGCTCACTTGGTGGGAAGTGGTCCCACGGTGAAGGTCCTGGGTTTGAGGACAACTTAGATTTGAGGATCTGAATGTTGTTTACATCAGCTGTTGTCATGGACGACACCCACTTGGTGGGAAGTGGTCCCACGGCGAAGGTCCTGGGTTTGAGGACAACTTAGATTCGAGGATCTGCTGATTGTTTACATCAGCTGTTGTCATGGATGACGCCCACTTGGTGGAGTGAGTAGTGGTTGCACGGAGACAGTCCTGGGTTTGATTCCCTTGCCTTGGGAAGATGACCGCATGTATAAGGCACATTGATGGTGTCCCTGCCATACTTCTGCCTCATTGTTACATTAAACCTCAAAGCAAAAGCCCGCCTGGGTTCGATTTCCCACGTTTACAAAGTGTGAAACCCTTTCTTGGTGTTCCCTGCCATGATTTTGCTGGAATATTGCTAAAAGTGGCGTAAAATCATATTCACTCACTCATCGTAAGGTGCCTTGCATAACTTGGCTCACAGATCAACTATCCAAAGGTCACAAATGGTTATAAAATAAAATGATTGGTTCACTCCAACTCCATTAATGAAATCACTCACCTCTGTGTCAAGCTCACTCATCTCGGAGTCCAGCTCACTCACTCACTCACCCCAGCTCACTCACATCAGTGTCCAGCTCACTCACCTCAGTGTCCAGCTCACTCACTCACATCAGTGTCCAACTCACTTACTCACTCACTCACATCAGTGTCCAGCTCACTCACTCACATCAGTGTCCAACTCACTCACTCACTCACATCAGTGTCCAACTCACTCACTCACTCACTCACTCACATCAGTGTCCAGCTCACTCACTCACTCACATCAGTGTCCAACTCACTCACTCACTCACATCAGTGTCCAACTCACTCACTCACATCAGTGTCCAACTCACTCACTCACTCACATCAGTGTCCAACTCACTCACTCACATCAGTGTCCAACTCACTCACATCAGTGTCCAACTCACTCACTCACATCAGTGTCCAGCTCACTCACTCACTCACTCACATCAGTGTCCAACTCACTCACATCAGTGTCCAACTCACTCACTCACATCAGTGTCCAGCTCACTCACTCACTCACATCAGTGTCCAACTCACTCACTCACTCACTCACTCACATCAGTTTCCAGCTCACTCACTCACTCACATCAGTGTCCAACTCACTCACTCACTCACTCACATCAGTGTCCAGCTCACTCACTCACATCAGTGTCCAACTCACTCACATCAGTGTCCAACTCACTCACTCACATCAGTGTCCAGCTCACTCACTCACTCACATCAGTGTCCAACTCACTCACTCACTCACTCACATCAGTGTCCAACTCACTCACATCAGTGTCCAGCTCACTCACTCACATCAGTGTCCATCTCACTCACTCACATCAGTGTCCAGCTCACTCACTCACATCAGTGTCCAACTCACTCACTCACCTCAGTGTCCAGCTCACTCACTCACATCAGTGTCCAGCTCAATCACTTACTCACATCAGTGTCCAACTCACATCAGTGTCCAACTCACTTACTCACTCACATCAGTGTCCAACTCACTCACTCACATCAGTGTCCAGCTCACTCACATCAGTGTCCAGCTCACTCACCTCAGTGTCCAGCTCACTCACTCACTCACCTCAGTGTCAAGCTCACTCACTCACTCACTCACCTCAGTGTCCAGCTCACTCACTCACTCACCTCGGTGTCCAGCTCACTCACTCACTCACCTCAGTGTCCAGCTCACTCACTCACTCACTCACATCAGTGTCCAGCTCACTCACTCACCTCAGTGTCCAGCTCACTCACTCACGCACTCACATCAGTGTCCAGCTCACTCACATCAGTGTCCAGCTCACTCACCTCAGTGTCCAGCTCACTCACTCACTCACTCACCTCAGTGTCCAGCTCACTCACTCACTCACCTCAGTGTCCAGCTCACTCACTCACCTCAGTGTCCAGCTCACTCACTCACTCACTCACCTCAGTGTCCAGCTCACTCACTCACTCACTCACCTCAGTGTTCAGCTCACTCACATCAGTGTCCAGCTCACTCACTCACCTCAGTGTCCAGCTCACTCACTCACCTCAGTGTCCAGCTCACTCACATCAGTGTCCAGCTCACTCACTCACCTCAGTATCCAGCTCACTCACTCACTCACTCACCTCAGTGTCCAGCTCACTCACTCACCTCAGTGTCCAGCTCACTCACTCACTCACTCACCTCAGTGTCCAGCTCACTCACTCACCTCAGTGTCCAGCTCACTCACTCACTCACTCACATCAGTGTCCAGCTCACTCACCTCAGTGTGCAGCTCACTTATTCACCTCAGTGTCCAGCTCACTCACTCACTCACATCAGTGTCCAACTCACTCACTCACTCACCTCAGTGTCCAGCTCACTCACCTCAGTGTCCAGCTCACTTATTCACCTCAGTGTCCAGCTCACTTATTCACTCACCCCAGCTCACTCACCTCAGTGTCCAGCTCACTCACTCACCTCAGTGTCCAGCTCACTCACTCACCTCAGTGTCCAACTCACTCACTCACATCAGTGTCCAGCTCACTCACTCACTCACTCACATCAGTGTCCAACTCACTCACATCAGTGTCCAACTCACTCACTCACATCAGTGTCCAGCTCACTCACTCACTCACATCAGTGTCCAACTCACTCACTCACTCACTCACTCACATCAGTTTCCAGCTCACTCACTCACTCACATCAGTGTCCAACTCACTCACTCACTCACTCACATCAGTGTCCAGCTCACTCACTCACATCAGTGTCCAACTCACTCACATCAGTGTCCAACTCACTCACTCACATCAGTGTCCAGCTCACTCACTCACTCACATCAGTGTCCAACTCACTCACTCACTCACTCACATCAGTGTCCAACTCACTCACATCAGTGTCCAGCTCACTCACTCACATCAGTGTCCATCTCACTCACTCACATCAGTGTCCAGCTCACTCACTCACATCAGTGTCCAACTCACTCACTCACCTCAGTGTCCAGCTCACTCACTCACATCAGTGTCCAGCTCAATCACTTACTCACATCAGTGTCCAACTCACATCAGTGTCCAACTCACTTACTCACTCACATCAGTGTCCAACTCACTCACTCACATCAGTGTCCAGCTCACTCACATCAGTGTCCAGCTCACTCACCTCAGTGTCCAGCTCACTCACTCACTCACCTCAGTGTCAAGCTCACTCACTCACTCACTCACCTCAGTGTCCAGCTCACTCACTCACTCACCTCGGTGTCCAGCTCACTCACTCACTCACCTCAGTGTCCAGCTCACTCACTCACTCACTCACATCAGTGTCCAGCTCACTCACTCACCTCAGTGTCCAGCTCACTCACTCACGCACTCACATCAGTGTCCAGCTCACTCACATCAGTGTCCAGCTCACTCACCTCAGTGTCCAGCTCACTCACTCACTCACTCACCTCAGTGTCCAGCTCACTCACTCACTCACTCACCTCAGTGTCCAGCTCACTCACTCACCTCAGTGTCCAGCTCACTCACTCACTCACTCACCTCAGTGTCCAGCTCACTCACTCACTCACTCACCTCAGTGTTCAGCTCACTCACATCAGTGTCCAGCTCACTCACTCACCTCAGTGTCCAGCTCACTCACTCACCTCAGTGTCCAGCTCACTCACATCAGTGTCCAGCTCACTCACTCACCTCAGTATCCAGCTCACTCACTCACTCACTCACCTCAGTGTCCAGCTCACTCTCACCTCAGTGTCCAGCTCACTCACTCACTCACTCACCTCAGTGTCCAGCTCACTCACTCACCTCAGTGTCCAGCTCACTCACTCACTCACTCACATCAGTGTCCAGCTCACTCACCTCAGTGTGCAGCTCACTTATTCACCTCAGTGTCCAGCTCACTCACTCACTCACATCAGTGTCCAACTCACTCACTCACTCACCTCAGTGTCCAGCTCACTCACCTCAGTGTCCAGCTCACTTATTCACCTCAGTGTCCAGCTCACTTATTCACTCACCCCAGCTCACTCACCTCAGTGTCCAGCTCACTCACTCACCTCAGTGTCCAGCTCACTCACTCACCTCAGTGTCCAGCTCACTTATTCACCTCAGTGTCCAGCTCACTCACTCACCTCAGTGTCCAGCTCACTCACTCACCTCAGTGTCCAGCTCACTCACTCACTCACCTCAGTGTCCAGCTCACTTATTCACCTCAGTGTCCAGCTCACTCACTCACTCACATCAGTGTCCAACTCACTCACTCACTCACCTCAGTGTCCAGCTCACTCACTCACCTCAGTGTCCAGCTCACTTATTCACCTCAGTGTCCAGCTCACTTATTCACCTCAGTGTCCAGCTCACTCACTCACCTCAGTGTCCAGCTCACTTATTCACCTCAGTGTCCAGCTCACTCACTCACCTCAGTGTCCAGCTCACTCACTCACCTCAGTGTCCAGCTCACTCACTCACCTCAGTGTCCAGCTCACTCACTCACTCACATCAGTGTCCAGCTCACTTATTCACCTCAGTGTCCAGCTCCTTTATTCACCTCAGTGTCCAGCTCACTCACTCACCTCAGTGTCCAGCTCACTCACTCACCTCAGTGTCCAGCTCACTTATTCACATCAGTGTCCAACTCACTCACTCACTCACTCACTCACATCAGTGTCCAGCTCACTCACTCACATCAGTGTCCAACTCACTCACTCACTCACTCACATCAGTGTCCAGCTCACTCACCTCAGTGTCCAGCTCACTTATTCACCTCAGTGTCCAGCTCACTCACTCACTCACATCAGTGTCCAACTCACTCACTCACTCACCTCAGTGTCCAGCTCACTCACTCACTCACCTCAGTGTCCAGCTCACTTATTCACCTCAGTGTCCAGCTCACTCACTCACCTCAGTGTCCAGCTCACTCACTCACCTCAGTGTCCAGCTCACTCACCTCAGTGTCCAGCTCACTCACTCACCTCAGTGTCCAGCTCACTCACTCACCTCAGTGTCCAGCTCACTCACTCACCTCAGTGTCCAGCTCACTCACCTCAGTGTCCAGCTCACTCACCTCAGTGTCCAGCTCACTCACTCACCTCAGTGTCCAGCTCACTCACTCACATCAGTGTCCAGCTCACTTATTCACCTCAGTGTCCAGCTCTTACTCACCTCACCTCAGACAGTGTCAGGCTTGACTTACTTTCTTAAATAATAATTGATCAAGAGAATTATATGTATCTATGGCCACCATACAAAAGCCATCTCAGAAAGAAGTAAATATGTATGTATGTTACTGAAATGATATACACAAAGAAAAAGGTTAAGCTCATCCCCATTTCTGAACAATGACAAATGACAAAAATCATGGCATGGGATGACTGACCACAGGAGCTGGGCGATACCAATGTCATCGGATAGAACAAACATTTGACAACAAATAAAGAAGATATTGGTGAGTTGTGATTGAAATTTACTGACAAAAACATCATGGTTACAACAGGTACTGTGTTTGACCTTAGACAATGCCTCAAAAAAGTATGGAGGATTAAGTAAACGAGTTACGTTTGATGTTTCATGTGAAAATGTTCCTTGAAGTCTCTACTTGACATGACAAGTGAAACAGATCAGATCGGGTATAACCTCCACATGCCCGGATGACGCATTCCACCCTACGTCTCAGGCCTCCAGTCAGACGTTGGATCTGTTGATGGGTCAACAACAACCACTCCTGATGCAATGCTGCTTCCAATTGGCATAAATCTTGTACAGGTGGATCTTAAGGCCTGTATGCGCCGCCCCAGAATATCCCAAACATGTTCTTGGGGGGTTCAAATCTGGGCAAGAGTCGTTATTGCATTGGCCCTCATGTAATCCACGACTGCATGAGAACGATGAGGCCTGGATTGTCATCCATGTACTGAGGTCGAGTAGCAAGAGGGCGGTTGTCAAAATGAGGAACCATGACTGGCCTCAAAATGTCCCGGATGTACTAAGCCCCTGTTAAGTTGCCCCTTACGGTGACCAAATCCAACCTGCAATCATGAGAGATACACCCCCAACCATTACCGAGCCCCCGCCGTATGCAACAGTCAGTTTAATGTTCCTGGGGGTGCCTCCAAACTCTCATTCTTCCATCAGTGACATGGAGCAGAAAGCGACTTTTGTCTGACCAAAGGATCTGTCTCAAAGTTCTCAGATTCCAGTTCTGTCGCGCAATACACCATGCTAAATGAGCAGCTTTGTGGTGACTCGTCTAGCCCTCAGTCCTGCTGCTTTCAGCCGGTTCCTGACGGTTCTGGTGCAACCACAGCTGTTTCAGACAGGTACTTGTCAAAAAGGGTTCTTGGCGTATGAGACGAAGAAGGTCCCAGTCTTCGCTATGTGTCAGCACAGGAGGTCTTCCAGATCTGGGACGGTCCTGTATATCACCGGTCTGAGCATGTTTCTCAACTAAACGGCTTACGACAGTGTGATGATACCCCAAATTCCGACCAATGGCATTACAAGACATTCCTGCGTTATGCATGCTGATTATTTGCCATCTTGTGGCGTTTGATAATCGCCTTCGTGCCATGGTCACACAATGTCATGGAATAACTGTTTAAAACCGAGGTTATGAAAGCAATTTTAACGTTTGGATAAACTGCTTTTAGAGATACTCAAGGGTAGCATGCTGCACGAGTATACTATGCATGGCACGCGAGCTTTCGTCACGCATGACTGATTACATCATCTAAAGAAAACACAATTCTTCCCGTAATTATATCTTTCATGACTGTTACAAATATTGGGACCAAACAATAATGAAAAATATTAGGGTGTGGTTAACTTTTTTCTTTGTGTCTATTAAACATCCTGCATTTTATACAAAACTAGCAACATCTCCAAACGGACCAACCACAACAACTACACAAATCTATTAAAACAATTGTTGACCTATCAAAGCAGTTTGGATAACAAATACACAAAGAATAGAATGAAAAAGAAAGTGACATGTTTCAGTGACTACTTCTGTTAAATGAGTGTTTGTTTATTTTAAAAAATTTTTACGCCGCACTCAGTAATATTCCAGCTATATGATGGCTGTCTGTAAATAATCGAGTCTGGAGCAGACAATCCAGTGATTGAAATCATAAGCATCGATCCACGCATTTGGGATCGATGACATGCATCAACCAAGACAGCAAATCTGACCACCCGATCCCGTTAGTAGCCTCTTACGACAAGTGAATGAATGAGGGAGGAAGAAAGGGACTCCTGAGCAAATACTGAGTGAGTGAGTGAGTGAGTGAGTGAGTGAGTGAGTGAGTGAGTGAGTGAGTGAGTTGTTCCATGTGACACAACACCACAGTTACGTCAAACTGATAGTAACCTTACTCTGATAAACTGTCTGAAGTCTGGTCAAAGGGAAGTAACTCTGTGTATTTTCTTCTGTTCAACCCATGGCCCTTCACAGTAATAACAACGGTAAAAGAGTGAGTGAATATGGTTTTACGCCACTTTTAGCTATATTCCAGCAATATCAGGGCAGGGGACACCAGAAATGGGCTTCACACATTGTACCCATGTCAGGAATCGAACCCGGGTCTTCGGCGTGACGAGCAAACGGTTTTAACCACTAGGCAACCCGACCGCCCCAACGGTAAAAGAGTTCAAGTCTGTGTTTACACAACATGGTAGAAGCAAGGTCTGGAAAATTTACACTTTTCCATCTACAGTTTTGATGCATATGAAAAACATAATTTCAATTTGTATAACTTCAGGGCAAAAACTCATTTTCCATAAATGAATATCACATGAAGGATAGCATGTTATTTCCATGTATATGTCCACAAGCAATCTGAGTAGGATCAGCATATAAATTCCCAATTCACCCTTCCTCCCTAGCTAGCCATACGAGAGATGACCTAAATATCCCCCAAGACCTCTAAGTTATGCTCCGATGGGTTCTGTCACTGACTTGTGTTTGAAAGCAAAGCATGTCAATCCTCTTCAAAGGTTTTGCCTATGCCTAATGAATCCAAAGGTTTTTCTAGATTGAACTTTGTGGTTGAGGTCACAGACGGCAGGGTTCTATAAATTAATCAGAGCAGGCACACCCAAAGTAGTGGTGGATAGTGTGAACATCGAACCACAGCCTTCATGGTGTGATGAGATCTGGTGTCCCATGTAGTTCCAAATACCGGAGAGTAGGGCTGGGACGAGGCCAACTTACTACCCAGGTATCCGACCCCTTAATACCCGACCCTACCCGGATACCCGGTGTAGGTCTCAAGAGATGCGTACAAAATGTCTGATTGGGAAGAGATTGACTGCAGCCCTGGCAAAATGTATTTAGATACACATATAGAACGATCTGGTCATGCATATATGAAAGTTGACTGAAACTTTATCATTTTTCAACCACATCAAAGTCAGAAGGAATGTGTGCTTAGTAAGACATGAATGTGAACATTTGGGACTTGTAGTGTAGCAATGGAGCTCTAGATAATTTTTGTCACTAAACAATATATCACATGACTAACCATGGGCCCGGGTAGTCCTGTACCCGGATCCTACTCAGAACCCGCCCGACCCGAGTACCCGAGTTACCAATCTCAGCCCTACAGGTTAGGGAGATTGCTGTAACGCTTCACATACTTTGAACTTTGAACAGTACCGGTATTTCAGTTATTTCAGCGTTACCTTTTATGTGTGGGAAGCCAAACTGAGGCAGGTTGCAAACATCTACCTCTTTGGTTTAAGCCATGGTGAAGGCAGATGAAGGATTACAATCTGGGTGATTCTAGGATCTAAACCCATGATCAGCGGATCCTGCAGGGGTAAGGGCCACAACTCTCTATGCAGAGAAACAAGTTCAGTGAACCAGGTGAAAAGAGATGCAACTCAGCCTAGTGAGCCTTTGTACCAATTCAAGTTCTTGCCATACAAGTCAGCCATTGTGACCAGTGGATCCACCATGTCAATAAAACACAAACTGCAAAAAAAGGTTACAGATTTAATTATTCCTCAAAGACACACACTCGGCAGAGTCACTGTGTCCACCTCCAGTTTAACATCATCAAACCACATCACCCACCTCCCTGCCTCCACCAGCTTCTGAAACCAATGTCTGATATGTTGGGAATAAGTACTTAGAACACACTCTGGCACACTGAACGAGTACACTGTATGGGAGGGCAGTTTGAGATGGTCCCTCACGTTGTCATGGCAACAGCCGACAACTTTGTAGACAGTGAGAGGTTGACAAGAGAGACAGTTCGTTGATGCATTCTCCTTCATAGAATACCAGTAAATCACAGGAAAACCCAGGAGCAGTCCAAATAAGGATGACGGATTAAACATATTTTCTTGTAAACAAGTCATATTTTTTCCATCAGTTGCCATGTCTTTGTATTCCTGGAAAGTGGTTTGCAGTCCTGTCTTGTCGTCCATCGCTTCCGGTTGTTGCAGCTGACTTGAAACGTTCACTACCTTCATGTCATCCAAACATGACACAGAGTGATCTCCCTTTAATGAATCCAAATTCAAAATCAGCATGTCCATCTCTATGGTTACCACAGTGAGCGTGTTTTTAAGGAGACAGTTTTGTTTTGCCTTTTTGAGTAATTGTTCCATACCCTCAACATTCGGTTTCCCATAATCCCACAGCAGTCCTGGTTTGAAGCCGGAATCCACAACAAGGATGTCAACGGTCATCTCCCGCCATTTTTTTACGTGTTTACGCTCAAAAGCCACTTCCAGCAACTCTTTCCAAAGAGAAAATTCTTGTTGCTGCGACATCAGGATAATGGTGGTCCTTAAAAAGAAAAGAATTGACAAGATGGCTCAAGGATTAACTGTTGGATTGGCATTCTAGAAGTTGGCAAAATAAGTAAGAAAAACATAAAACTTTATGGCTAACAATTTCTGGTTTATTGCATATAGCGACTTTTCGATGTAGATTCTTACACTGTAATCAAGCTGGAGTGACATATTTGTCATAAATTGGCTTGAAAAGGATATCGGAACATTAGCTTAAATGACTGATATTTTTTTTTTTAAAAAATTTTTTTAACTAAAAGCCTAGGCAAGACTAGATCAAACTTAACCATGTCTCGTTTCCTTGATTCCACATGAAAACAACAGAGGGGGAAAGGTTCTTTTTAAAAAAATATATTACAATTATTTTAAGGAAATATTTTCATAGGCGAAGTGTTAGTCTAATAAAGGTGTCAGCCCTGGGCAGTAGCTTATCTAGGGGTTCTGTTATAAACATCATGGTTCTCATGCTATAAAAAGTCAATACAAGTGTTTGTGTTCAGCAAGCTGCTGACAAAACAGGTGCCACTGTCCTCACGGCCACACGATTAGCTCAGGTTGGTCCAAGCTGCACACAGCTGTGTCTTGTTCCTTGAGGACACAAGAATTGTAACAACTATATGTAACACAATGCAGAAAGCCCTTACCAAGACTGGTTCATGGTCGCATATGCATTGCATTAATTTTATGATATGTAGCACTGACAGTTTGTTTGTTTAACTCCGCACTCAGCAATATCCCAGCTATATGATGGTGGTCTGTAAATAATCGATTCTGGACCAGACAATCCAGTGATTGATATCATGAGCATCAATCCACGCAATTGAGATTGATCACATGCATCAACCAAGTCAGCGAGCCTGACCACCCGATCCTGTTAGTCGCCTCTTACGACAAGCATAGTAGCAGAGATAGATTCTTGACAACATTTTGGCTAGTTGCGATATCATAGCTATATGTATTTCTTCACCTTTACTATCCAAAAGCCCCTAGTTGCTAATACATAGCTACGATTAATGCCGTGATATAACTGGAATACAGTTAATCCCAACTCACTCACTTACTATTCTGACAAATGTCTGGATTTACAGTTGTTGAATGTCCTATATCTTTGGCCAGAGACCATATACCGATATATATCCTCCGCTCTGGCGTTGCAAAAGACAGGGCCTAAAATAAAATATAAACTGGAATATCTATAGAAATGTTTCCACACGTCAAATCCAAATGTAGCGGCCATGCAATCTTCGAACCAGAGACATTGTGATAAGAGGTTGGGCACCTTGTCCACATGACCAAAGTGGGTAACAAGCTGACAGGGTAAGAATGTTATCTCTGTGTTGAGTGACATGACTTCACGCTCTGCTACAAAAACAAAATTAAAATAGTCAAATAAAATAAATAACAAAAATTCAGACGATAGATTTGAACGTGTGTTATGAGACCACAGACTGAGGTGAGCCTTGGTGTACAGGTTTGTTATCATGTTTGCATACTGCTCTTCAGACATACCTGTTCAACAACACCTGTAATTCCAAGTTTCCTGAATATGATGTTTACATTCAGAACAGCATGAGCTTGGCAAGCTCCTCACAGCGATAGCCCGTTCGCGGAGCTCTCTATACTATGTTACCGAGAGTGTAACGAAGGTGTCAAGCGCTAGGAAGGAGCTTGCGAGCTTGCAGTTGAAGGGAGGTAACTCTAATGACCATCTGCAACTTTCAATCTGAATGACCACTCAGCCAGTTGAGGGAACTTGAGATCGAGTCCCCATGCAGCATACTAGATGTTTTATATATCTTGTGCGAGTTTCAACGTCGCTTTTGAAAAATAGAAATTGATGTTGACATGGATGTAATATTCAAACAAACAAACATTTCGTGATCGTGCTGGTGTTAAGTCCTCGAAATGGGGGAACCCCAGGGCAGGTAAGAGTATCCATAGGACACTACTGCATGAGAAGCAGACCCACTCCTAGCATGAATTATATCAACCTAATCACAAAGCGCAGGACATAAGGTCAACGTTCCTTGCATGTATATTGTATCTGCTGCCTGACGTACGTGCAGCTGGTCTTGTGTGGAGAAGGCTGGGGTCTTCATCTCTTCTCCATCAACTTCTCCATTGTCTTTCTTCTGTGACGGTAGAGGGCGCCGCTCAGGCTTAAGAAGAAGCGGAATCCACATCAGTGTACAGTCCATGCATTGGTGTTAGTAGTGTTATCTCGTCTCCTGCTCTCTATCTCAGATCAATGATGAACTGTGGACGATAAGCATCATCTGGGGGATGTGTGTTGTCTGCAGCTGTCCTTACGAGGTCGCAACAGTTGCGATCCTCCCTTTACAAGGCTGTAAGCGTATCTCCAGGTCTGTCTGTCGGGAAGCAAGTACCTTTCAAACAGAATTTGTAGAGAGCCTCTCTGCGATCTAACGTACTGAACCTGTCATGCGACAAGTCGGCACTTAAATACTATGTTACAAGACCCAGGGGTGTTATTTTATAGTGGTTGCGGCTCTGTGATCACAAATGATGTGAAGTTTTATATAGAATGCAGTTCAGGTTTACGTTAATATTTTACTTTTACCTTGGTTATTGTGTTTTATTTTATCTACCCTGGTATGTGATTTGAGTTAGGTTTCCTCGGGTTTCCCCATGTTAATAATGCAGCAACTGACTGTGATTGGAAGAAAAGTTACAAGGATGAAATAACCAACTCAAATCATTTATGGCATTTGTCGTTTCTCGCGATCGAATTCCGACGTAAAATGTATTGACCCCTATGTTATGAGTTTGATTGTAGTGACTAATTTTACGTCAGCATTCGATCGCGAGAAACGGGCGTGTTAAAGGGACATAACTCGCGAGGGCCTATAGCAGTTAGCCGCTGATCGTAACATCCCACTAAGTGTAGGTTGTCCTCAAGGTTTGCCAGCTCTGAAGATAGAGGGAGATGGCCGATATTGAACCTTTCCCTGGAACCCCGCAAAATGTTATCACTGATATCCCGGTGTTTGGTAATACACCGCTGTCTCTATACTAACAGAAGTTAAATCAGCTGTGCCCTTTAAACGATTATTACTGATGAATTTTGACAATGTAGACTATTTTCGATATATTGTTTTTGCAAGTCTAGCTATACGGGTGATGCACAGGTGATGCACATATCAAGTAGAGGCGATGCACAGCTGCACAGGCCTGCAGATGATATACACGTGATATACAGATGGTAAAACAAGTGATATACAGATGATATACAGGTGATATACAGATGAGATACAAGTTATATACAGATGATATACATGTGATATACAGATGATATACAAGTGATATACAGGTGATATACAGATGATATACAGGTGATATACAGATTATATACAAGGGATATACAGATGATATACAGGTGATATACAGATGATATACAAGTGATATACAGGTGATATACAAGTGATAAACAGATGATATACAAGTGATATACAGATTATATACAAGTGATATACAGGTGATAAACAAGTGATATACAGATGATACACAGGTGATATACAGATGATATACAGGTGATATACAAGTGATATACAGATGATATACAGGTGATATACATATGATATACAAGTGATATACAGATGATATACAAGTATTATACAGATGATATACAAGTATTTTACAGATGATATACAAGTGATATACAGATGATATACAAGTGATATACAGATGATATACAGGTGATATACAGATTATATACAGGTGATATACAAGTGATATACAGATGATATACAGGTGATATACAGATGCTATACAGGTGATATACAGATGATATACGAGTGATATACAGATGATATACATGAATGTTATGAAGTGGTCACTTCTTCAGTTACGTGTATTGTGTTTTGTTTTATCCAAGATGGCGGACGTGTCCTATCGAAAAACGTATATAACGAACAACGTATATAACGAACTGATTTGTCCGGTCCCATGGAGTTCGTTATATACGTGTTCTACTGTACATTTGAAATACAAGTGTTTTACCGGCGGTGCACAAGTTATCAAAAGGCGATACACAGGTGATGCAGTATTGGTGTTCAATGATATAAGGCGATGCACATGTGATTTGCACGTGATATACAGGAGATATACGGGACATATACACGTGGAATACAGGCGATACACAAGTGATATGTACATGATATCAATCAACTTGGGATACATCGGTGTCAAATATTTGATATAACAGTCAAACAACCCATGTTTGATGTTCACCGCTCTATCGTTTTTCATGAGACAAGACAGTTATATATCTTATATACACTTCCTTTCTGTATACCGAGATACCATATGGCTTTTGCCGCTAAACCACAGACCCGTGAAGATCCGGGTTAGAATAGGTCTTCAGCAACCCATACTTCCCGAAACAGGCGACTATGCTTATCGTAAGAGGCGATTAACGGGATCAGGTGGTCAGGGTCGCTGACTTAGTTGATGCATGTCTCGTATCCCAATTGCGTAGGTCGATGCTCATGTGACAATCACTGGATTGTCTGGTTCAGATTCGTCATATAGCTGGAATATTGCTGAGTGCAGCGTTAAACAACAAACAAAACAGACAAACCAAAGACGTATATAGATGTATATTGTATATACATCTTTGGACAAACAAACAAAGCTAAACCACAACAGGTGAAACCGAAGGCAAGGGGAGCAACTCTGCCTGATATCATTCTCACTTTCGGCTGTTTCCGTCAACCCTGTTTTCTTCAAACATATTCGTGAACACTCGCCAGTTTCCACAGGCCTGCAAAATTACCGAAATGACACGAGCAGTCACGAAAGAGCACGACGCATATAGCTGTGAAACCCGAATACAAGCATATGTATATATAATATATATATAATATATATATGTGGGAGTACAAACAAGGGGTGGGTGAAAAGAAACAGAAAACTTGACACAAGCTGAAAAGCTGCGGACTAAGAAACATAGCTTCTCTTTCCCTTTCACTGTGAAAGAACGAACGCCCATTTAACCTGAATTGGAATTCACGTCTTTTTATGTGCCAATACTTGGGTTATGTTTGAATATATCCACCAGGATCTATTAATACACCGTCATTGAAGTAGGTACATTGGTATTACATGGCTGTGTACACTATCTCGCCCAGACTTGCATATTGTACAGATTGTATATAACTGCTTGTGAGTTTCTGAAGACGACCCACACACTCTAAAGCTGCCGTATGATTTATGGGGTCAGTGCTCACCTCAGAAACAAAGTAGCTCCCTATGTGGACAGGGATTGTCTCCTTCAATAGCGGTTGTTTAGGCCGCCCATACCAAGTACCTTTCATAACGTAAGTGGATGCAGATTAACGCCGAGTCGGCAAAATTCAAATTGTATTAGGGCGGCCTGTATTGGGTTGAGTCTGAACCAGACAAGCCTGTGATCCACGCTTCACTGGCGCGATGATATCCAACCAGCCACGTCACGTGGTCTGACAACCCGACCCACTTCGACGTCTATCGCGTGCAACGGTGGCGACGGAGTGCTGGCAGCTGTTCCCACCGAGGTCCTACCTTTTTTTAGACCAACAGATAGTCCCAGAAATAAGTTATTTAAGAATATTTATCTACAAAAATAGAAGTAGAATCCAAATAAGGCCAAAGAACAGCGGTTATTTTCTAGAAATGAGGCAGTCTATAGACTTGCCAAATCATTTTAGGCTTGAGTTGGGTTCGAAATTAATTTATGCTCTTGGGTTTTGGAGGCGGTTCTGCTATGCATCTATTTAGCTGGAACACCCATTGCACAAACATCCAAATCCCACTCACTCACTCACTCACTCACACATTAAGCTGACACGTCGTGATATAACTGGAATATGTATAGTGTTATCTTATCTTAATACTTGTGTGTGTTTATGTACACAGGAAATTGAATCAGAAGAGCATTTCTTTGCGATTGTCCCATGTCTAGATATAGAACACAACTCATTCACTCACTCACTCACTCACCTACTCACTCACCTACTCACTCACTCACTCACTCACTCACCTACTCACTCACTCACTCACTCACTCACTCACCTACTCACTCACTCACTCACTCACTCACTCACTCACCTACTCACTCACTCACTCACTTACTCATCTCATCTTTACAAAGCAGGATGGTCTTGTCTAAGTTGTTTATATTTTACACTGTGCTATTGATATTATAATATATATATTCACATTCAAAAGCCGCGAGTATGACACGGTTATGCTTCCGTAGTTTTGATTTCCACAACAAATACATGTATGTAACAGTAATGTTGTCAAATGATACTATATAAGGAGGTATATCTATATAACACTTATGCCCGCCATATAGACATATCAGTCGAGGCCTACATTCTACGTCAACTTGTTTGATAGTGTTTATCAGTATATTCAGGTGTTCATCAATGTGTATATTATTGGTTTGATAAATGATCCATATTATCACCGACATGAATGTTATCGCGCTTGATTCCTCGCCGTGGAGCAGTGAGTCACGTTCAGTTTCCGACAACGTGACTTATGTGGTATGAAGGCGTGCTGCAGGTAACCTCGGTCAGAGGGTGAGTGAGTGAGTATGATTTTACACCGTTTTAAGCAACATTCCCTCCATATCACGGCGGGGGACACCAGAAATGGACTTCAAAGCTTTGCCAGAGACAAAAACGCCACTCTTTCGTCTGCAGTTAAATGTTACAAATCTAGCGTTTACGTTTAAGGTGAATGTTGTTGTCCGACGCAGTACGCGATATTTCATTTATCAGGTGACGGGCTTGTCCTGACCTGGGAAGGCAACTATGACGTTGGTGGCATGAACAACGATCCGTGCCGTGTGTGTCGTGTACGTCGTGTGTGTCGTGTGTGTGTCGTGTGCGTCGTGTGTGTCGCGTGTGTGTCGTGTACGTCGTGTGTGTGTCGTGTACGTCGTGTGTGTCGTGTACGTCGTTTGTGTCGCATGTGTGTGTCGTGTACGTCGTGTGTGT